TATGAAAAATCATCCATTCATGAAACTGTTGAAAGAAACAGAAGACTATCTTGTATTCTCTGCAAATGCTTATTGGCTGAGCTGCAGAAGAGTTTTACAAAAATTTACTATAATGTTAACTCTAATTCACGATTTTCTTGAAACAAAAGAAATGCTTGCCAAATATTCAATAATCAAAGACCAAAAATACGGCAGTATGATTCATGCCAAAAAAAAAATGACAGTGTGATTTATGTTTTCTCACTCATATGACACTGCATGTAAATGAGCTAACTGTGATGCTCCCAGGAAAGTAAAAACTAATTTGTGACCTAGCAAGACAGTGTGGGAACTTATGTTGAAATAGGAACTTTTCATAATAAAACTCAATGGTAATTATTTGGCAATTAGTTCTGAGTCACCATGTTACAGATAACAATTATAATTTACATAGAACCAACAGTACTGTATAGATTGCTGCCAAAACTAATGCTGAATAATACTTTGTTAAGGGTGATACATTTATAGATGCTTTTCATTTATAAAATACCACTTTGAATTTGATGGCAGTCATACCGAGGTTGACACTAGACTTAGTGAGTTTACTTCATTGGAATGTAGTTTTGAATTCCTGTGAAGTCAGTACCAAAAAAGATTAACCAATTTTGTTAAATGGATACAAACACTAAAGGAAAATGCCTTTTTGATATCTGAATGTTACAGATAACAATTATAATTTACATAGAACCAACAGTACTGTATAGATTGCTGCCAAAACTAATGCTGAATAATACTTTGTTAAGGGTGATACATTTATAGATGCTTTTCATTTATAAAATACCACTTTGAATTTGATGGCAGTCATACCGAGGTTGACACTAGACTTAGTGAGTTTACTTCATTGGAATGTAGTTTTGAATTCCTGTGAAGTCAGTACCAAAAAAGATTAACCAATTTTGTTAAATGGATACAAACACTAAAGGAAAATGCCTTTTTGATATCTGCTTCAACTATTGGACAATGTTTAGGTATGTTTAGGTACTTGCTATGTGAACCTACTTCTTCAACATAAAATTCTAAGTCTAAATATAGATCAAGTATCTCTGATGAAATTTAACATCCAAATTGATGTGTATTGTAAGTATAAATCACCTGTCAGACTTTGGAGACTTTTTGTGGAAACAAAATGAACAACACCTTGTAAATAATGTTTTATATTGATTATGGATTGAAATGGTAATATTTTTCATCTGTGGGGTTAAATAAAATATATATATCTAAATTAATATTATTAAAATAGTTATGACTGTATAGAAATGAATGGTACATTTATTTACTTTCAGTAAACAAATAAATGAAGGAGAATAGATAAATCTCCCACACAGAATTCCAAATAATTTATGTAGATATCCCTTCCTCAAGTCTTCCTTTCAAAGAGTACAGTGTGTAAAAGGTGGGAAAGTACTTTACAGTGGGGACACCTGACAAACACATCTTCGGCCAGGGAATCAAGGTTAGCATCAACGATGGTAAGTCATGTACCCTTGATACAATGTAATGAGAAAACCAGTATAATGCCGTGGTCTTCCCCCCGAACATTCATAACCTCTATGACCTGTGTGTTTTTACCATTACTGCAAGCAATGAACTCAGTTCCAATACTATACACATGGAGACCGCATCAGATTCCACAGGTTAAGGTCCCAGACCTGCAAGACTGACCCCTTGACCATTCCATTTCAGATACCAACCCAAAGTCTGGGTTGTCACCTGTGCTTTTGACTGGGACTTCCAACGACCCCCTGCTTGGTTTCAATTAATTTGCTAGAACAGCTCAAAGAACTCAGAGAAACATTGCACTTACTAGACTACCAGTTTATTACAAAGTATATTAAAGGGCAGGAATGAACAGATGCTTCTCCCTGTGGAGTCTGTAGCCCTGTACGTGGAAGCATTCTGGTTCATAGCCTGGAAGCTCTCTGAACCACCTCCTTTGGTGGTTTTGTGGAAGCTCATTACATAGGATGACTGATTAAATCACTGGTGATTAACGATTGGTTCAATCCCCAGCCCCTCTCCCCTCCCTGGAGTTCAGATGGTGGGACTGAATGTTCCAATCCTCCAAACACATGGTTGGTTCCTCTGGCAACAAGCCCCCATCCTTAAGTGCTTTCCAAAAATGCCTCATTAACATAAACCCAGATGTGGTTAAACGGGATTTGTTATGAATAGCAAGATAACTTTATTGCTCTTATCACCCATGAAATACTAAGGGTTTTAGGAGCTCTGTGCCAGAGACAGGGACAAAGACCAAGTGTATATTTATTACAAATCACAATATCACAAACCTTTGTATGACCATGAGAAAAACATCAGACAAACTTGAATTCAGGGACCTTCTACAAAATGCCTGAGCAGTATCCTCAAAACTGTCAAAATCATCAAAGCAAAGAAAATCTGAGACACTACAATATCAAAGGAATCTAAGAAGACATGATAGAAGGCTTGGTGGGATCCCAGAACAGAAAAAGGACATTAGGTAAAAACGAAGGAAATCTGAATAAAGTATGGATGTTAGTCAATAATAATGTATCATTATGGATTTATTAGTTGTGACAAGTATACCATACTACTGTAAGATGTTAGACTAAAGGAAATTGGGTTTGGGGTAAACAGGAATGTCTGTACTATGTTCACAACTTTTCTGTAAACCTAAAACTTACTCTCAAATAAAAATATTATTACAAAAATTTAATTTGACCTGTTTCCTTTATTTTTTTTTAATGTGGCTACTGAAAATGTTTACATTTCACATATGGCTTACATTAGGATCCCATTGGAAAGCACTGCTCTAGAGAATGGAATTGCTATGGAACAAAGAGCAGTGGATCTGGTGTCTGGAAACCTCTGGTTTGAAGCCTGACTTTAACTCTTAACACACACATCACAGGCCCTCTTAGCCTGAGGTCCTCATATATATGATGAGAATTAAAGAGTGTTGCAAGGATTCCATAAGATGGTTTATTTGAAGGAAACTAGCTCCTGATCTATAATGACCAAACAGTTGTTGACTACTGATATGTGCTGGATTTTTACTCTTGCAAAGGGAGGCAAATAATGGATTGCAATGCAGTACGAAGCTCTGGGGAATTGCAGAGAAAAGAATGACTACACACTCAGGAAGGTTTCCCAGAGAGAGCAACAGTGACCTAGATCTTCAAAGACTGAGTCCAGGCCCAGAAAAATGTTGATTCCCATTACAAGTACCTCCAACTTAATGTAATACAGACTTACTTTTTTTCCTCCTGTCTTTAGGGCTTGGTGCCAATCCTCTTAGTCACTTCTTTCTCTGTTGCCAACACACCTTGTTCTCCCTGTGCATGCCCTTAGACTACACAAAACTGGCACTTGACAATTTCTACATTTTATAATTTAATTTCTGTATCACATGCATAGACTTTTTTTGCCTGAAGCTTAAATTAAGTATAATTTTAATGCATAGGAATAAAGGGGCTTAGTCACCATATACTACCTAATCTTAAATGTATTCATATTTGGCTATACTACTAAGAAATACAGCCCATGGTTTTCTTCCAAGCAAGAGATGGACAGTTAATTTCATTTCCAGCAGAACGCCTCAGTGATGACAACCTCTTCTCCTACCAAAGTACTAGCCAGCCAGCCATCTTTTATTCTACCCACTTATTCTTTCATCTCACACATGTTGAGTGCTTACCATGTATCAAGTGTTGATGACACAATCTTTTGCATGAATGGGTTTTCCTGTCTTTTTCATGTGTCTTTGTCATATTTTCCAAGTAAGGTGTAAATGACTTAAAGACGTGATTGATGGCTCCTTTCTCTTCTGAAATCCTCTTGCTTACTGGCCTCCTCCCCACTCCAATCATACTCCAGCACTATCACTACCAACAGCTACTCTGTTGTCAGGCATCTGCATCTGGGGAGGTCTCTCCTTGTGCACTAGGTAAAAGCACTAAGAGAAACCTCACCCTGGATGGGGCAGAGTTCTTGACTCTGAAAGAGAAAGATTTCTCAAGCAGGTCAGACGAGTGTAGGTAAGGAAGGAATTCATAAAAGTGAGAGTAGCAGGGAATAGCACCTGCCTTGCGGGCAGCAGAGAGCAAGGAAGAGCAGAGGAAGAAAAGGGAAGATCATTGAACTCCTGCTCGACATAGCACAGATCCCTTGCCAACTCCTAAATCAGATCACCTGGTGTCCAGTGTCCACTTGAATCTGCATGGCATGGGAACTAAGCCCCTACCACCCTGGATTTGGGGGAGCTGCAGAGCACTGGATGGAGTGAGATTATGTTCTGAGAACTTCCCAAAGGCAACGAAAGGAGATTTCCAGGCAGGCTACTGAAGAGCATGATCATACAGCTGCAGTCCTGTCTGGGTCACCCAAGTGACAGGAACTGGCAAGCCCAAATCAGAGATCTCAGTAGCACTTCCCTAATTGTCTGAAGTAAGACAGAACGAGTGAAGATTTGTGCTTAAGTCTGGAAACTAGAATAAAATAGCAAAGTGACAAAGACACTTACCCCTGGAAGAGCACAGAGACAGTAGACAGTAAATTGGACAGTGACAAGGCTTTATTTAAAAAGTACACACTCGAAGAAAGGGGAGTGTAAGCAACCACAGAGAGGAAGTGCACTTAAGGGCTTAGGATTCTCTTTTAAGGCTTTCAAGAATGAAACAAAGGGCGGCAGGGGGTGAGGGGTATAGTCTTGACATGTGGTCTCATGATGTCTGTCTCCAGTGAGAGACATTATGTCACTATCCACAGTCAGTCCTCCAGATAATTCTGTAGAAGAAACTTAACACTTAAGACAAAGAATTTATTGATCCAGTTCCTCTCCAAGATAGTGGTTTCCCTCAAGCACTGGGAACAAATCGGTTAGGACTGCTTGTCCTGCCTTAAGATAGGGTGGGTTAATTTCTGATTACCAAAGAATATGTTAGGAATCTTACCTCCTAACTCCCTGGTTTTTAAAATGGAATCTTAGCCTTAAGATGGAGTCCTTCCTGTTCTTACTATATTGTTTATATCTTGGCATTTTTCATCACAGGCAGGAAAAGTTCGTGATGCTCGTCCCAGGTCCCTGCCCTGCTCCAGGGCCAACTATACTTTCCTACCCGGAAGAGAGAATGGTGAGCTTCCAACCGACCTGCAGAGAAAGGAGCAGAGGGGTGAAGTATAATATCAGCCAATTTTTTTTCCTGAATATAAGTCTGGCCCTTCTTCTACCACCTTCCCCCTGCTTCTAGATTACAACGTCTATTGTACTTTTACTGTGGAATTCAGCTTTCAGTCACTGTGATTCAATCAGGCTTGTCCAGCGAGCCATCCTCCTTTACTTGATAAATAAGTCACACATAGTTTCCCCTAAACATCAGCCGAGTTTACCAGTCTTGGGAAAGAGGGGCACATTTTCAGCCACAGGAAATCAGGTTTGTGTGGGTTTCATCCATCTAACACTTGCCGTGATACCAAACTTAACCGCAGTTTTGTAGAAGAGAGGCCCAGGGCTAAGTCCGAGGTGCTGATCGGCAACCCTGAACTAGCGGCGGATTTGAGTTTGACGCAAACCAGATGGCAGGCACTGAAAGCTATTAAACCTAATTACTCCTCCGGTATGGGGCAAAACGGGAACTGGGCGCTATAATCACTGCCAGTCTTCTTGACTGATCGGGGTTGTTAAAGCTGCAAAGGCCATTGGTTTCGGTAGGGGAGGAGGGTGTCACCTGGCTCCCTTCCTACGACACAGTTGTTATTCTGAAGAATGCATTTAATTACAGAGGGAACTCGTTTATTTGCTTTCTAGTAGCTGGCTTTTCCTAGGTTATTCCTACCGGCGCCTTCCCCGTGCCGAAACACAAAGGCCTGTGTACGACTAGATCACATCTTTTGACTTCCATTTCAGAGCTTCCTCTGAAAGCGACAGGAAAGCAAGGTAGTGTGATGCAAATAGCCCCACAGGAGGTTACCTTTACCAAAGGGGACCCATTTTCAACTGTATGCAAACTAGAACTCTCCAAAGACCTGTGAACTGCAAATAACTCCGGGTGTGAAAGGGGTCAGCTTGGTTTAATTTAAGAGTTTCACAGAGCTTTTCTATAGAAATTCAAACACCGGTGAAGAAACCCCTCGGGGGCCTTTAAAAAAAATTCCAGGGCCAGCACCTCTATTTACTCTTCAGACTCCTGCCTGTCTGGTGGAGGTCTGCTCTTAAAAGCTAATCAGCTCACCTAGGGCTGTTGCCCAGGCTCCCGGTGGCAGGCTGCCTCCTCAATGCGGAGCTTTGGAGCACAGTGCCAGCAGGGGAAGCTGGGAGAGGAAGCAGTTGTGGAAAAAGCAGGATTGAGGTTAATGCTCAGGCCAGGATGAGGCTAGGGATCCCCAGACAGTGGCCAAGTGGAGCAGAGCTCATGGTCACCCAGCACTGCTCTCTTCTTCTGCTCTGGAGGAAGACCACCCCCACCCCGCACCCCATCCTGCCCTGTCACACAGGTGCATCACCAGGGTCTCCTGAGGAACATCTTCATTGCCATATTTTATTATAAAATATACCCTCATTTCTCAGAAGCCAGAAAAGTCCAAAGGAATACTGCGCATATTTATTCTCTGTCTGTCCCTTCTTTAGATGTTATTTATGGGGAGACCCTGCTCAAGTCTAGGTAGACATAACAGCTCCCCTCAAGCTGGAGAAAGGATTTTACATTCTGAATTCTCACTTTAGCCATGCTCGGAAAATGGCTTAGACTGTGGCAAAAGATTTGAGTTAGCTCTTAAGGGGGACGTTTTTACTGCAAGAATGTGGAGCGTGGAATACAAAGTAAGATTTTTGACATGTCTTGCTCTGAGGCTATTTAAGAGAGAGCAGAGATTTTAAAAATTTTTTCCTGGGGTTATAAGCACAGTTCTACTTTGAACCAGATGACTCCTCCACAGTGGCAAACTTGGCAAGATTTATTGGTAAAGACAGCTGCTTAATCTGGCAAGGAGAATGAAAAATATCCCAGCATACACCATAAAGCAACTTAATACCCCATTATGATCACAACCTAGAATGGCTCTCCCATGAAAGAAACTTGAACTTTTTGGTTGTACATGGTTTAATTCCATGATCTTCCTTTATTGATTTATACTGCAAGGAGATATCCTGATGGATTTCTGAGCATCAATGCTGATTCACCCAGTGAGGGCGATAGGTCCTGTATAGTTCAAAAACAGCATAATCTTCTCCTTGATCAAGCAAGTCTACCAGGCTGACTTCAGTCATGGACAACTGATCTTAATGCACAACTGAGCTTCTGTTGGTGGGATCTCAGAGGGCCTGGAGAGTCTGTCCGCCTCAAACATCTGCTCTCTCCAGCCACAATATGCAACTGTGCCAGGTTTTAGAAAAGGTCTGTCTTTGAACTAGTCTTTGATTAAGACATTGCCTCTACAGTTATGCTAATATATTATCTGGAAAAACAAATGTTTCATCTGTTAGTGATGCCGGGGTTCTTGTTTGTGGAGCCAAAGAATGAGCTTCACAGTCAAGGTAGGAGAGGCTTTTATTTAGAGATACAGTGAAAGGACAGAGCTCCCGGCTCATGCCAGGAGGGGACAAGAGAGTCCGTGGTGGTGCACTGTCTAGGGGTTTTATAGGCAGTTGAGGATATTCGGGACTGTGAAAAAAGCTTAGGGGTGTGGACTTGGTAAGTGGTCTCTGAATATTTAGAATTAACACAAGCAACATCCTCTGATGATTTCTCCGTGGGATACCAGCATCTTGGTCTGGAGTCATATAAAACAAGGCCACCTGCTCAGACCCCAGGGTGGGCTGAGGTATTGTTTGCTAAAGAGTAAGTGAAGAATTTTTAACGTCTTAACATCTTGCCTATTAAAATGCAATCTTATCTTTAAGGTGGAATCTTTCTTGCCTTTTACTGTGTTGTTAATGCCCGGGCTTACTTGCTAAATTAGTTGCCCAGTTTGCAAAATCACTTCATCAGATCTGAAGGAGAAAGACAGCACATAGGCCTGGGCCTTTTAGTATGCTAAAGGGAACTTTACACATGATATTAAATGGTTAGCATAATAAAACATGTTCTACTCTTCTTTATCTGGGGAACATTAACTAATTTTACTTAAGAATGATTCTAGAAGCTCAATGTTAAACATAGAGTTTTAGCAGGGGTGGGTGGGGGTGGGGGTGGGGTTCCTTGCATGTAGTTACATGGCCATTGACTGAAAATATTCCGCCCTGCTTTTCCCCGGAGGCCCTCACCCTACTCTGACTACACTCACAGTCCCTGTCTCATTAGTATCTATGAATCTGTTTGTATCTATCCACAATTTGCAAAGAGGTTGAATACCTACCCTATAGGTATTACCTAGGACAACCTAGCAGAAATGAACACCCTGAGAGTACTCAACTGGGAAGGGGCATGTGGGGGTGGGGGGAATGTAGGAGAAGGAGAGAGATAAGGAGGAAGAGAAAGAACGAGAATACTGGGAGGATCATGAAGACAGTGTGGAAAGCACACGGATCCCGTGTCGTAGTTTCTGTGCTGTTTGGGGCGGTCTCCCTCTGGGTGAGCCCTGCCGGCTTGCCATGCACTCGCTTTCACTTTGGCACTAGAGCGTGAAGACCTAGACACTTAGGTGCTAGAAGGTGAACCAGGACGGGCAACAAGAAGAGCTAGATCAGTGTAGGGGCCCTGGCAGGGCCAAATGTTTCTCTAAGGAGGATCACAGAAATGCATCCCTGGTGTGACGGAACCGAAAAGGAAGCCTTGAAAGGCAGCTGTTCTATGACTATGATATATACAGCCTTGCACATGAGATGCCTGAGCCTGCCCACACAAAAATGAGCACCCTCACAAGAATGTGCACACATGTATGTATGTATTTACAGAAATGCACTGAGCAAAGATAGCTATGGGTGCAGTCAGCTGGACCTTTCTCTTATAAAAAGAAAAAGAATCCATTCAGTCAAAAAGAAAAAAAATGTTGAGTTCTAACTAACTTCTGGAAACATCTATTCTCAACATTTCCATGATTCTGTCTAACCTGGTAAGTTTGACTTCCTTCAGATGGTGTCATGGCCTCTGGATTTGATTTCTGGCTGCTAAAGGCTGTCAAGTGCCAACAAGCGGGCTCTGCCTTACTCTGGTCTCACCGTGTTGGCTTCCCTCCACCATGTGAGAGGTTGAGCCAAAGCAGGGTAGCCAGAGACCTGAAGCCCCCTAATAAGAGCTTTAGATCCTGCCCACCATGAGCAGGTGAGTCATCCACATTCAGCAATTAGCAGCATGCCGGCCCTAAGTAAGTAACCCTGTTGAGGACTGGCAGCTCACAGAAAGCCAGCTCTCCATGCCTGCATTGTATCCATGAATCTACCTCAGTCTCTCAAGCTTCATTTCACTGGTAGCCTGATATGAATCAGGTTCATGCTTAAATGTCATTTATTTTGAATGCACATCCCATGCCCAACTCCTTCTTTCAATCTCAGTGGTCTGAGGCCCTTTTGACCCTCTCAGGGACCTTGCCTTCCCTGCTCACACCCCATCGTGATCCCTCAGTCAAAGCGCTGCCACCTCCAGGCAGGTTTCTCAGTTTTCAGATTCCTCTCCCTTTACAATGACTTGATCTGGCAGAGTTCTTGACTGTCCCATGTAAGACTCTCTCTTTCCCATCTCTGTCCCTCAACAAGTAAACAGAGAATAAACTAGAGGAGGAAGGTAAATCAAGATTCCTTGGAAATGTATAGGAAACAAGGCTGTGTGGCTGAGCCAGGTGACCTTAAATAGAATGGACTGGAGGTGTTAGGAAAAGACATGAATGAAAGAAAGCAGGAAATAAACACAGGGGAGACTAATCAGCTAATCCAGCTAAGAGGTTAGACCAAGGTAGATTACATAAAAGGGCACATGAACAAAACCATGGCCTAAGCAATAGTCTTTTGGATACATTTAACCTTAGGAAGCCATCATTTACCTCAAGCAACCAAAAAAAAAAAATGTGGAAATAAAATGCTTAGCAGAGAGAGTCTTGAGAGAAATAACATTTCTTAAATGCCAAGAAACAAAGGAAATGAGAGGGTCTGAGGACCACCAGTGGGAAAATTCATGATGGGGAAAGACTGGGAAAATGTTTG